GAAGTTCTGGTAGTTTCCTAAATTCTCTTCTGTGTGTGTGAATCTAGGTCTATTCCAACCCTATAATGGTATCTTCTTCTATCAGGGAATTTAATTCCAAGCTATTAGAAATTTTTGTTTCTTTGCTATTGTTGTTTTCCTTTTTTTCCTAATGTTCTTGCTCAAAGTTGACTCTTTATATATTGCTTTCTTTCCTGCTTCTCCCTCTCTTTTCCTTCTTCCCCTTTTCACTTCTCATCTAAATAACAAATGTTAAACATACAGTTTCACATTTTTCCATACCCATAGACACATGCGGGGTAAAGGGATCATTGTCATTATTTGTTTTACCAAAATGATATTATATGCAAGAATTATATCTTGCTTTTTTTCACTGAACAGTACAGAATATTCATTCAAGTTAGATGATACAGGTCTAACTTATTCTTTTAGTAGATTTATAATGCTCTGTGTTACAAATATACCACAGTTTATTCACCCATTCTTCTATTAATGGTTATTCACTTTATTTTTCAGTGTTGTGCTGCTAGAAAGAGAGATGAAATAAACACCCTTTATATGCTAGCACTTTTATTTCTATGGTGCAGTATCATAGGAATAGAACTGCTGAATCAAATGATGTGTATATTTTTTTAAAAAATATTGCCAGGTTGTTTCTCAAAAAGTACATTCTTCGATCAATGCATGTGAATATTCTTTTTCACAAATGTCCACCTACAGTTGGTATAAATCTTCCTTTAACATTTTTCAAACTGATGTGTAAAAAGAATGATTTCGTTTTCCCTTTCATCTGTATTTTCCTAACTAGTAAAAAATTTGAACAGCTTTTTACTTGTTTATTGTTCATCTGGGCTTATTTCTCTATGAATTAACTATTCAAATTTTTCATTCCTTTTTCTGTGGTATGCTTGTCTTATTGTTATCAATTTGCAAGCTCTCATTGTATATTACAGGTAATAACACTTTGACTGCCATTTGTGTTGCAAATATTTTCTCAACTGTTGATTTTTACATATCGCCCCCTGAATTTTCTTATTCTATTTTTCACAAGTAGTGATTTAATCTACTACCTGGCCCAGAATTGACAGGGCCAAAGGTAAGGACTTTATTTTATTTTATTTTATTATTTTATTTTATTTTATTTATTTTATTTATTTTATTTTCAGGTAGAAAGCCAGTTTTTATCAGTATCATTTATGAACAGTCTTTTCCCATTGAATTTTAAAATACGATTTTTTTTTCCTGCCCCTAATCAGTTTGTCAATTTCCATGCCAGTTGCTTCCCCATTTGGTTTATGGTAATTTTATAGAATGGTTTATTATCTATTTTGCATAACCCCTCCTCACTATTCTTGTTTTTCAAATTTTATCGGTGATACTGAATATTTATTCTTCAATATGATTTTTTAAATCATCTTGTCAAATTTCCCCCGAGTACACTCCAGGTTTTTAATTAGCATTGTGTTGAATTTGTATATTAATTTTGAGCACATGGATGTTTTTACAATTTTAACTGTTCTCATCTAAAGTATGGCATCTTGATCTATTTGGTTAGGGAGTTTTATCTATTTATATGAAAATGTATGGGTTTTTTCATGTAGGTCCTATATATTTCCTGATGAATTTAATCCTAAGTATTTCATAGCTTTTTTTTTTAGTAAATAAGTGGTTATTGTCACACACACACACACACAAAACTATTGCTTTTTAAATATCTCTTATATCATCAATTCTGAAACACACATTTTTAACATCTCTGAAAATGGGACATATTCTATAATAATGACACCTTAATTCTGACTTTTTCCTTCTTGATGGTTCATAAAGTAACAGATATCTTAAAATATACAATATCTTAGGTTCTTTGAAATATTACATGCCCAGTCAACTTACCAAATTTTCTTCTTCTAATTCATAATAGTGGAATTTTTTTTAGGTTTTCTAATACAGAAGTATATTATCTGCAATACGATGTCATTTTATCTCTTTTCCAAATTTATACCAATTATTTTACTTTCTTATTGAAGGTAAATATTGCTGTCTTCTTTTTATATTATGGAATGATTAGCACAAACAATTTTAATTGCTGTTGGTTTTTGGTAGGTTTTAATCATAGATAAGGAATGTTTTCATTTTTCCTATTTTACACAGTTTTTGTTAGGAATGCCTGAAGATTTTTAACAAATTCCTTCTAAGAATCTTGTCTTTATTGATGAAACATGATTTTTCTCTTGCAACATATAAAATCATGCTAATAATTGTCTTGATTTTCAATCATTCTTACATTCCTGGAATTAATCCTACTTAGTGACAGTATAATATAGTTTCCATTTTTTTATACAATGCTGGGTTCCATTTCATTATATTTGAATTTGAATTTTTGCCACTATGTTCACAGGAAGTTAGACTGTAGTGTTTTATCAGCACTACCCTTACTAAGCATTAAGATTATGCTGGCTTTTTATGAGGTTTACTTAGCTTACATGATCTCTAAGGATTTGATCAAACTCAACCACAAAGACATCTGGTCCTATTAATTTCTTTAATGGTTTATTTGTATTAATTTTTCAGTATTTTGTATAGCATTTAGTAAACTAAAGGTGTTCTTTTAGATCAATTTGAGTGAACTACATTTATATAATATTCATTTTCTGTTATCAATTGTGTTACAATCGAGTTTCATGAAGTTTTTCTCATGACTTTTACTATCTTCCATATCTGTTATTGTCATTTTTCTCTTTTTTCTAATCTTTTATTTATTTTGCATCTTTTTTGTTTTTCCTTTAACCAGGCTTATGAGAGATTTATCTATTTTATAGTCTTACCAAATAATCAGGTTCCAGGTTTATTTAGTCTTTCTGGATTTTCCATTTATTGTCTTGTTCATGAGTTTTTGATTTTATATTTATTAATACATTCCGATTTATATTATGGGTCCTTCAATTTCTTTTTTTTTTTTCTTTTTTGAGACAGAGTCTCATTCTGTCGCCCAGGCTGGAGTACAGTGGCACAATCTTGGCTCACTGCAACCTCTGCCTCCTGGGTTCAAGCGATTCTCCTGTCTCAGCCTCCCGAGTAGCTGGGATTACAGGCGTGTGCCACCATGCCTGGCTAATTTTTGTATATACATTTTTTTTTTGTAGAGATGGGGTTTCACCATGTTGGCCAGGCTGGTCTCGAGCTCCCGACCTCAGGTGATCCACCTGCCTTGGCCTTCCAGAGTGCTGGGATTACAGGTGTGAGCCACCACGCCCGGCCTTATGGGTCCTTAAATTTCTTAGGATGAGTACAAATAACCCTTATTTTTACCTATCTCTTAATAATGATGCCACATATAGCTATAAATTGCATCTAAGTATAATGTTTCCTCAGTTTTACTATGCTTCATGAGTTTTGAGTTACATAGCTATTTGAGAACATGGATTGTAAAATCTCCACTTTTGGTTTTAAGATTTTTTGTGTTTGTTTTTGTCTGGCTATGAACATGATCAATTTTTGTGAACATTCCAGAGATATTTAAAAAACAGTAGTATCTATTGGAAGGATGAAAAATTCTGTATTTGGCTAGTAGTCAATTTTATTGATTATAATAGTTATTTCTTCTGTGTCATTACTTTTGTTTTTTCTACTTGATCTGGTTTTGAATATGTATATTGGAATCTCTTTTTTTTTTTTTTTTCCCTTTATAGTTTTTGCTTTTTTGCTTTACATTTAGTAGATACGCTATTTGGTGACTTCAGATTAAAAAAAGTAACTGAATAAAAATATATTGCCTGGCTTGGGAGAGATCATGGGCAGGGGTGGGGTTCTGATCACCATTTGACTATTATCCAAGGATTATATTAACCCACAGAAAATATTCTACTGAGTACTGCAGAGCAAGTTCAGCAAATATGCCCCACTCTATCTGAGCAATATAAGTAGACAAGAATTTGACTTATCTGTCCAATTGTTTTTACAACTGCCTATGCTGAGGAGGGAGTGTGTTTAATGGTTTAGACTGGGGGCTCTTAAGGCGAACCATATGCTCTTGAGTCAGACTGTAGCTCTTGAAATAGCTTTGTTCAGCTGTTTTCACACCTGGTAAATAGGAGATGACAATAACACAGCCTACTCTATAGCATTGTTGTGATAATTCAGTGATGGGATTCATGTGAAGCTCAGAGCCACACAAGCATCAAACACTAAAAAAAAAATCTATTAATATTATACTACGTTCTTGAGGCTCTCCTAGAACCATATACATAAATATGCTTTGAAAAGAACATGATATTATATATGAATATAAATCAGCAATAGCATTATTAAAGCAGATGAGAGCAATGCAAATGCTCCAGAAATATAATTATAGAGAGTAAAATTATATGAAATAACATGTAAAACAATGCCAAAAATTAAGTGCTAGTAAAATACAGTAAGTTCTTCAAGGACAAGGATCATGTGCCACTCCTTTGAAATAGATCCACAGTTTTAAGCACAGAGATAGACACACTGCAGATTAAATCAAGCTATTTTTTGATTCTTTGTGAATAGGTACTGTTCTCAAATTCTTGGATTAAATTTTAAAAAATTCTAATTTACTGTCTTATGTCTCTTTCTTACAAAAGGGACACCTCTAAAACGTCTTATAAAAATACTTTTAAAAATATCACTATAGTAGTATCAGTCAAGGTTCACCATTCAGAACCTCAAAAAAAATAAATCAAAAACCATGCAACCTGACAAACTTTGAAAGACTTTAAAACTCTACCTTCATTTTCTCATACAGAGAATAGGTTTATATTTTTAAAATATTAAGTATCTCAATTTCTTTGGTACTTTGAATCTCTATGAGTCAATAACTTGGTAGCACTATGCAAAGTTGTCTAAGGAGAAAACCAGGTGTTACAACTCCTGCCTTGAATGAGTTTCCATGCAGCTTCAGATTCAAAGCACACACTTAAAAACCTTTCTAAACCAATATATAAAGAGTACAACCTAATATTATGAAACTTGATTACCTGAGCACTGAGGGGAAGAAAACTGAAGAAGCTAGTAATGTGAGATAAAATTCACCATTGGTCATCTGAACTCTCCATCACCAGTAGTTCTCCAATGTTAGAATGCTAAAAATCACCAGACTCATTTGTTAAAATGCAGATTTCAAGTTCTAGTTCCAGAGATTCTCATTCAATAGGCCCACGATACCATCCAGGAATCAGGATTTTAATTAAATTCATAATCAGAAGAATGACATAATGTATCTTTTTCTTCCCCTACAAAAGTGAAACACAAAATAATACTTGACATGCAAAGACACCACATGCTCTTACTTCATGGTTATCTGCTTACCAGGAAAGAGGAAGTGAGACAACCTATGAGGACTCTTTTAGCTCTAGGAGGCATATGTTTGTAAAAAGTCAAGCCATGTGAATAACGCAAACGAATTTAAAATGTACTAAACATCTCTACTATCTGGATTTTCCACCTTTTTTTTTCATAGATAAGTCTTCATGTATAGTAGACTATAGTATAATAACATAATATTCCTAATACCATTAAATATTGTCATCATCACAAATAAATTAAAAATCTACTAGCCAACTAGAAAATATTTGCCGACCATATCACATTAAAGGACGATACAGACCAGGTGCGGTGGCTCAAGCCTATAATCCCAGCACTTTGGGAGGCCGAGGTGGGCAGATCACCTGAGACCAGGAGTTCGAGACCAGCCTGGCCAACATGGTGAAACCCATCTCTACTAAAAATACAAAAATTAGCCAGGCTTGGTGGCAGGCACCTGTAATCACAGCTTCTCGGGAGGCTGAGGCAGGAGAATCGCTTGGGCCTAGGAGGCGGAGGTTGCAGTGAGACAAGATCACTCCACTGCACTCCAGCCTGGGCAACAGAGTGAGACTCTGACAAAAGAAAAAAAAAAAATTACATAATTAATACATAGAAAACACATATAAATCAATACATAAAAGCTTTAACCATCTAATAGGAAAAGATGGAAAAAGACTATAAGACAATTTACAGTATAAGACATATAATTGACTCAAAGAAACTCTTCAACTTCACTAATGTTTAAAGAAAGCTATGAACAACAAGAATTTCAATTAGCAAAGACTATTTTCAATGACAGTAACTATTAAAAATAGTATTATGAAAAATGGACATTCTCATTCAGTCCTGTTATTGATTTTTTTAATTTTCTGAAAAATAATTTGTAATACATATTAAGAACCTTCAAAAATTCAGATTGTTGCAGTAATTCTTGTTTAGAAGAAAATGCCAAGGAAATAGCAAGAAATTCAGATAAGAATCATTTCTAGAAATGTCCATTATAGCATTATTATAAGAGAAGTAAGTTAAAAACCATCTACATATAAAAATGAGAAGGTGATTGCATGATTATGGTCTACTCATATTATAGAAATAGTATATAATCATTAGAACTGTTTTGAAGAAAAATAACATAGGAAAATGTTCAGTATAAAACGTTAAGTGGAAAAAGGAGGATTAAAATTACATATTTGGAAAACATCCCAAATATTTGTTGTTTTTGTGTGTGTATAACTAGAAAAAATATGCTGAAATATTGCATGCTGTTTCTAAATAATGAAATTATTGGTAATTTCAGTTTTTCTCCATATATATATATATTTTTTTTGGATACGGAGTCTGACTCTGTCACCCAGGTTGGAGTGTGGTGGGGCAATCTCGACTGGCTGCAACCTTGCCACCAGGGTTCAAGCAATTCTCCTGCCTCAGCCTCCCAAGTAGCTGGGATTACAGGCACCCGCCACCGTATCCGGCTAATTTTTGTAGTTTTTAGTAGAGACGGGGTTTCACCATCTTGGTCAGGCCAGTCTTCACCTCCTGACCTCGTGATCCACCCAACTTGGCCTCCCAAAGTGCTGGGATTACAGGCATGAGCGACCACCCCAGCCTTCTCCTTATAATTTTGTATGCTCCCTAAATATTCTAAGAGCTTATTTTTTAAGCTATTCTTTTGAGAGCTTAAAAAAGTTAATACCACAGCATGTCAAAGATTAATAGGATAGAATCTGTTCCCAAAATCAATTAAACACATCATTTCCAAGCAAAGGCAATTGAAAAGCAATTTTTCACAAGTATATGTAATCGGAACAAGGGCTAAATCAAGTCAAGGCACTATATCATTAGGAGTAATATAATCAGTTATGAATACTGCCATAACTTTAAATTAAAAGCCATATGCTTTTAATAATTATGTATTTGGGAAAACTTCAAGCACAACTCTTTAAAGCTAAATTGTTTCTCTTAACAACTGAGGAAGAATTGATAGCTGAGAAAGTTGGAGGCCACCCAAGGAGAGAATTCAATGCCAACGAGGAAATCAAATTACTTGATTCACAAAATTGTTTTTTATTAAGCTTTTCCTATAGTCCAGATTGTCACTTGAAGGCTGGGAGAGCAACCACCTCCATAGTACTTAAAAGCCTAGTTGAAAGTAAAAAACCTGAAAGAGACTTCAAATCTGCAGGCAAGGAAGATTTGGAAAGACTTCACTGGTTTCTAAACCCAGTTACTACCCAGAAGCACCTACAGAGCTTGCTAACCCTAGATTCCTGACCCCATTCCTAGTGATTCAGAAGGTGGAAGGAAGGTTCAGGAATGTGATTTTAAAGATATATCCCTGGTAATTCTAATGAAGTCCAAGTCCTGAGACCAGCATCTGAGAACTACTAATATAGAACCAACAAGGAATTTAGGCCCAAAGAAGTAAAGATCAATTACATAATTTAGTTAGTAACAAAGCAAGAAATGCATTTGGATACCTTGACTAGAAAACAATGCTTTTTCAATTACATTTTATATTCCTAAATCACTGTCCCAACAACAGAATAATAATAATGTAGGTTAGGTATAGGTATAGGATCAGGCAGCCTCAGTACCTGAGTTTCAATCTTACAATGAAAACTGGGAGGACCCACTTAAACCACAAAAGGAATTTGTGTGGCTCTTACAAAAATCCTAAATTTCAGAACATTTTCTATAGTAGCTTAGATAACTCAAAACCCAGTTTGAATACTAAGTAACAGATATAGTGAGACTTTTTACTAGTTTACACTTTTTCGTTTTTCTTTTTGAAGATCACTCACCAAAAAGCAGTGCATATTTGTTGTGTGATATTACAGGTACAAAATAAGCAAATGTTGATTCCTTAGCTCTTTTATCCTTGGATGTTTTCACTAGTTGAGATTTTGAAATGGGGAATTATTAAAAGAAGTCATACAATTATGTCATATGAACTTTCACATCTGCAAGTAAAGGGATATTCTCTTTTTACTAGGCACCTACTATGCACCAAGTACACTTAGTTAATCTGCACAAACCTTGTTAAGCAATCATTATGGGTCCTCATTTTATTAGATCAAGAAATAAAAGGAATAAAAACTGGAGTAAATATTTTATTCAAGGCCACAAAACCAGAAAGTGGCCAAGTGGGAATTTGAATTCAGAACTGACAATAATCTTAAGCTCTTTCTGCTTCCCCCTAACTCTCCCTTCCCCTTCATAACCAAAAATGTCTTTGTCAACAGAGGATATTTGAATAAAAGAGACAAATGTAAATGTTACTCTATATGCTAAACCTTTTCTGTACTTTACCAATAACTGTAATTCTTGATGCATTATGTTCTTCCCCAAGAGAAATAAAAAAGTACACTCTGCTTATTCTTTTTATTATTATGTAACTTTATAGGAAGACATTACAGATCTAAAATCATCTCCTTAGTATTTTAGTCCTTGAGTGACAACCTAAATTGTGCACTTGTTCTTTTTAAATGGCCATTGATTGCAGGGTTGAAAAGGCTTTGTTATATCAGAGTGGTCTAAATTTTTGAAATTTCCCTGTGGGTCACTGTATTCTCTCAAGTGACACAACCTTTTCTAGAGAATTATGCTGAAATTGCAATGGAAGTTACAACAAGAATTTTACCAGTTGCCAGTTTATTTTTGGATCCAAGAGCTACCTAGGAAATTGTCCTCTTGAAAATTAATCTAGTTTGAAACGGAAGAAGGCCAGTGGCATGGTGGCTGTAACCAAGAGGGTATGAAATGGGGACAGTGCCAATATGTGTTGTCTTATCAGACTACTGCCTCTTCCCAATCTAAAACAGTAGCATGTTCTAATTAAAATGTGGGAGAAGAGTAGAGGAACAACTGTATCATCAAGGAGACAATTTCTAACACATAGGACTATTATTTATAATTATTAGCTTCATTATCCTCATCACCGTTCGTAAAATATCTGAGTTCTAGAGAGGAGTTCTAAAGCGGGTTTCTTTGCAAGAGCAAGAGTCACTTCACATTAACACCAGATTTCACAGATTTTGAATTGGTTCCCAATGGTCTATTTTTACTGGAACGAAAGACAATAAGCTGCCTGCGTGTGGTGTGAGATATCTATAGATATGCATCCCCTGGGCCCTCTCAAATTTTTCTCATTAATCCTGACTAGATCTTTTGAAACAGAAAGAGGGGTGCTGTCTTCAGTCATCAGATTAAAAAAACAAAAAGAAATAAAAAAGATGGTAAGTTTAACTGTCCACTGACATAATATACTACCCCATCCAGAGGGATTCAGGTCTTGACATAGAAATACAATGAGAATTTACCCCAAATCTAAGTATGCAGAAAATAGAGTGTGGGGATGGGGAGGAATAGGAGGAGAAAATCCAGGAGATGTCATCTATTCTCCCCCCGTACCCTTGACTTTCCCATTCCACTTTCCCAAAGAGGGAATAAGGGAATTCTAATGAACCAAAGCTCAATGGAGGATCCATGGAGAAAGAGGTTATCTGTCCTAGTTTAATATAGTGTTAAATTAACAAAACAGGCTGCCTTTTGGGTAAACTAGCATACATCCTCCAATTTCCATTCAGATGTAATGAAATCTTTCAACATAACTCGAGTGGTCTTAATTTCCCATTTCCAGTTATTTTCTCTCTATATTTCCATTCTTAAGAATGCATCTATTTCCATTGCTTAAGTTCTCTTGTCTACCAATCCAAACTTTGTAACTCTAACACTAATTTTTCAGTCAGGTTTGTTCCATATTTCCAGGACATTTCCACCAGAACATCCTGCTTTAATTCTATAGGGGCCAAAATTCAAACTAAGGCACATTCCCACCTGAATAAACCTTTCTTGCTTTAAGTTCAGCTTCATTGCTTTCCATTACATTTCCAAATCACTGA